GATGAGAGAGATGAGAGAGATGAGAGAGATGAGAGAGATGAGAGAGAGAGACAGTGAGACAGTGAGACAGTGAGACAGTGAGACAGTGAGACAGTGAGAGTGAGCGAGTGCGGCCGCAAGATACGCAACGCTAACCGCATGCCAAAGAGCGACGACAGGACGGAGTCGAACTTGCGAAGAGGGAGGAGGGAGGGAGGGAGGGAAGGTGGGAGGAAGACAAGGAGGAGGAGAGGGGAGGTGGGGTGGGGAAAGGGGAGAGGGGAGGAGAGGGGGGGGGGGGGGTGGGGGGGGGGTCTTCGACCTGAAAAATCAGGGTTAGGATTTGCACCCGGTCGAAAGAAACCTTGCTATCGCAAGAGTAACTCCAGCTAGCTTCGCTAGCTTTCGTGATTTGAACTGGCGAGTCGATTGCTGGACACCGCCCAGCCATGCTTCAATCACCACTCCCAGCTGATGAATACCAAGTTTCTCTGGCAACCCAATTGAACTACATCTGACGAGGCGGTATTCTCTGGAATCAAAAACGTCCTATCCACCTTCCTATCCCATCCACATCCCCCTTGTCTCCTGGCCTCAAACATCAACTCCTCCGCTGCCGCCTCCTCGGCCAACGCCTCCTCCGTCAGCCGGTGCTCCTCGTCCGCCGCGGCCTCCTGGCGCGCGCGAAGCCGTTCCGCGCCTCCGAGAACCGGGCGCAAGAGTTCGGTTCCAAGAGTCTCTTGTTACACCTGTTACTAGTAGCGTGGCACTTGTTTCTACTAGCTTCTTGTTATGTACTAGAAGCAGGAATGCTCCTAGTAGTACGGCCAGGAGCCCCTAGTAGCGTCCTTGCTCCTGTCGTGATGGCTTGTGATGGCGAACAACATGAACCTGAAACACATTCCGACCCGGTCAGGCGGCTAAGAAGACTCATAATAAAGGTGCTCGCCTGGGGATTGTTGCCCTTCTTGTCGCCGTCGGTGCCGTTGTGGTTGTGATGGTTGTTTTGTGTAGTCAGTGGTGGTGTCAGTACTCAGAGTACTGGTGCCGTTGTTAGATACATCTTTAACACCAACCTCTCCCCTCGCCTCAGCTCGCCACAGGTCATCCTCATCTTCGAAATCCTCAAAGTCCGCGGAGCCCGAGCTGCTGATCTTGTCCATGCTTGGCGGCCATGCGGAGAGGATAGTTATAAAGTTCTGTTTTGATCAATGTCAAACTACTGAGAGTTAGCAATTAAACAATGTCAAACTACTGAGAATTAGCAACGTTGTTCCAGTTATATCTGGGAGGTTGTAGTAATTTATAAGTATATATACTGCTGTCTTGTTTCCAAACACTATAAGGGTGCTCATGCCCTTGTCCAAAGCATGACTGTCGTCGGCCAGAATCTCTGGCAACCCCTTGACAAGGTGATCGAAGCTCCTGATAGGAGAAAAGAACATGTCAAATGATGTAGAAGGGGAAGTTTCTTCATGACACCAGTGAAATCATCTCAA